AGAGGGCTGGTGCGGGATCGCGTACAAACAGCAGCACTGAACGAGAGGCATCGCGGGAACTGCGGCAATCTTTAGGTTTTCTGTGAAATTTTCGGATCCTATCTATATGACTCATCTTAATTTCTCGGTGGTAATTATCACAAAGTGATCATTCAGCTCAAAAGACTATTGTTAGGGGATGCAGAATGAACATTCTTTTTATGGTTCCTTTTGTCCGTTTTGGTTAATATAACAAAATTCTGAACGAACAGATTTAGATTCTGAGTAAGATAGCAAGCCTCGTGTTTGTATCTAAATAATATTCAAAAAATACTATTGAATAGAACGTTTTATTGTATTCTCAATCAACATATTTTGACTGTGCAAACTTTTTAATGATGGAATACATTTTCGCTTGGAAAAAAGAATTTTTAGCGTAGAATCTGAAATATCGTTTGGCCTTTAGAATGTTTCGTAACTCACATTCTTCCTCGCATGTCCAAGCAGCAAAGAATCTGTTGATACAAGCACCTTTTTAGAAAGTTCGAACAGATACATCCCATGCAAGGCATTCAAAAGTAAAAATATTAAATTTATTTCGAGCCATTTATGCTATAATAATGAGGAATGTTTAAGGATTTACTCTCAGTAGATATCGCACTTTGCTGAGATATTTATTTGGATCTAAGCTCAAATTTGTCGCTTTGATACATGACATACGTTATTCATTTGTGCGCATCGCAACCGCATGGTAATTCAGAATAATATCTTTTGATAAATTCTCGTCAGAACAGATCGTTTATAAAGGAGTGCGATGCAACTTAACAACTGAGTCGTGGGAACCGTTGCCGGTGATAAGCGATGGCTTGTTAGGTGACAGTAAGGAGCTGCTTTTGATGATCCTATGTCCGTCAGCTTTTTAATTTCCGTAAAAATTAATTTCTGATCGTGGTGTATATCAGTATATTTAAAGTCTTAAGGCATAAGTGTATATTTGACTGAAAACTGTCAACCGCTGCGTAATATGCGCTTGCTAAAAACGGACAGAAAGAACTTCTACATACGGATGCTGTAATTTACCATAATAACAGCCCAGGTAGTTGCTAACTAGAAATTAATTTACAAGGAAATTAAAAGAGTGAACCACCAAAACCGTTATATCCATCAAATCGCAACCAGGGAAAGCTGTGGGACGCACTGATGAGCCGGACCCCTCGAGAATGCCTCAAACAGTGTCTCAATGCCGGAAAAACACGTGTCTGTATCTTAAACCTGTTGGTAGGGTAAGTTACGACATCATTATGTGTCATTATTTGTCCAAAATTTAAATTCCACCTCACACCATTGAATATGCCTGGTGATATGGCCGTAGATTTGGAATTAATTTATCTTATTTGAAATGTTCATATATTGGCGGCATTATCCCACATGTGTTCTATATCCGCATGAAGCACGCTCAATATCCTTTGCGTTCCTCAGGAAATGGTGATGGTCAGCACCACGATTCCACACCTTATCCCTTTCAAGATCTTTAAGATTACGTTTAATCATAACAATGCTGCCGAATAATTAAAAAAAACTTTTACTGATTCGTTTCATGACGCAAACAGAAATATAAATGATAGATAGTCACCGATCATGTCCTATTGGGCACTGTTAGGCAGTCTTCTTGTACACTGGATGAAGTGCCCACTTTCATTATTGCACGCAACTATTTAGCTGTTTAAATAAGCTGCAGTAAACCCTAAATTAAAATTTATATCAGCAATGATTTAGGCATAGGGAGTAACTTGTGAAAAAACTTAACTATAACAACTGCAATTGATCCATTTATAAATTTACTTGTATGAAATAATTGAATATCATTAAGTCATAGAAGTATATTAGGTAGGAACTAAAGGCTGAAAATTGTAAACCTATTTGCTCCCCCCCCAGTATACTGATAAAAACTAAACTATTTTCTAGTAAACATCATTTTGCGCCTCCAGTTAAATACTGAACCTCGAAGGCGCGTTAAATCCCGATTCAAATTATGATCTTCACATGTCAACAGATCTAAAGTCTACTGTACTACCATTCTCTAATCTAACTTAATTTGAGCGCTAACTTCGAAAAACGCATTCGCCTGATCGGTTAGTTGTAATCCATCGCATTGGCCAACTAGTGCCACGAGTGTGACATTCATCAGCCACTCCCGTTCACCCCCCCATATTCTTTAGTGGTATTTGGTCGTCGAATGGGTCAAGAAGGTCATATGTAAATCTGTAAAAGTCTTAATCAAGACACTTCATTTCAGACTTCATCAATACATACTACCGCACATATGCCCACCTATCTTACCTGAGTACTGAAATATTCTACAAGTCTGTGTATGCATCCTTTGGCAGTGCGACATTCATGCACCATACATAAAATCTATGTTGCCAGTACGATGATAGCAGACGAAACGTTGCATGCAAGGACATGCGCATCATGCTTAATAAGTAGCCATGACATCTAGTGCACTCCTTTACACGAAAAGATGGACTGATCGCGTATCTGAAATGTGTACTCAAACTGGTTAACTCTGCCAATTCGTGCAGTGATGCCCAACTTGTGCCTTCCTGAAATTGTCTTGCCAATAAAATATGATACGTGCGGAAGAAAGAGTGCATCAGATACTTCACAAGACAACCTCACTGCAAATGTATTCGTAGGCAAGTAATTATTGCGCCTTCTTTGGGGTTGTCAACGGACTTTCATGTTTTGGATGTTTGACCTGTGCTAATTTAGGAAGCATCAATCATTTCATTTATCGTATCCCAACTAACGTTTATAGACTCAGCCAGTGACACCATGGCTGACGTATGTGCTACGTCAACAAAAGAATAAAAATGTAATGCGTAGTTATAATTGCGCTGAGCAGGTGCTCTATCCTGTCTCTTTCTGCGCAGTCAAACATTGCCAATCTAGCATGTGGACCAGGAAAAAAATATGATTTCGCTATCCCAAACTCTATTTATTAAATACTTACCTAAATACAAAAAGCAATTTGCATGTTCTACAGCTCCAAAAAAAATCTTACCAGTTTGTCATAACAGACGACTGACATTAAGTCGCATAACTGTTTCCAGACGACGCTTAAGGGGTTTTATTAAACATAGGTCATCAGATTTTAAGCACAGCACATTAAATTTCGTTTGCGATCACAAATTTAAAAATTGAAATATATCAAATTTGGCCTGTTATCATTTCAACATGAGTACTGCTTATGATTGTTGGTCCACTGCGTTAAACAATATATTTTGCTCCAGCTCAAAGTAAAACAACCCTGACTGAGAAAAACGCCTAAGTTGAGAAACTACCGAAGACTTGGCTGTTTGTAAAAATAAAACTGAATTCTACCACCTAGATCGATTAAACAAGAGCAACTTAAACACAATTAAAAATTACGATTCGGTCTTAGGCTATTTGTAAACAGTTTCGACCTAGGCCATTTAGTCATTTGTGTAAAGCGTCATTTCTAGTGTCAAATATAGCCAGATAATCCGCCGTTTTTCTAATTCTGTAGATGTTTTTTTGGTGTTATTGAAAACAACTGGTTTACCATAAATGGATAGAATTAGACTGTAAAGGTTATATTTTTTCTCTACTCTGAGAGAGTTAAATGTCAGCGGGCCTA